TCAGTTGTTTTGCGCAGGAACAAAACCAACTCAAAAAGGGTTGCAAAGTAAAATGAGTCAGACAAACCCTTCGTTGATTTCTTCGGTCCTCCCGAGGAAATCGCTCGGACCAACGACGTCGCGATTTTCCGTGGTATGGGGTGGAACGTCGAAAACGTCGGACACAGTTTCATCTTGACCCGTGACGGCTAGAACGACGATTTTGCCTTTTTCATTTATTTTGGAGAGAATTAAAGTTTGATATTTTTCTGTAATTTTTAAATAAACCTTACCTACAAATTGAACAACGAAAAGAAGTAATATACTGCCCAGTATCCTCATCGCCTCTTCACTAGACCACTGAAAATACTTACAAGTAAGTCATACAAGAAAGCAGAACAAGCAATACACGAACGGAACGAAGGTGAGAAATTTTACATCATAACGACTTGGATACGGTAATGGCAATGCGCCGACAAAGACACATGAAAGGCAATGGAGGAATGAAAATGGAATGAACCTCGAAAACCGCCCCCTTCTCTGTTCGGAGACAGTTGTAGACTTGTATTTTACGAAAAGTGAACCATGATTGATTATTGGTGATTGTTCGTTTTTACAACGCTCTTGTTCTACAGGCAGACCCACCGCCTTTAGTAACCTTGCGTAGCGCACCTTAGTCGGCGATGCACTTTCGATGAGGATCGATTTACATTATTTGTATGGATTCCATCTGGGATCGTATTTGGTCACTTGGGTGAGCAGGAGTACTGTCGGAGGAGGGAATGGAAGTGGTGCCGCCAATGCCACTTCACCCATAACTATTATGTAGGACATGAGGAATTGCTATCTATCACGCATTACCGGTTGCTTCAAACGGCAAACTGTGCTCTTCCGCGCGTGAATGTACACCTCATCTGCGGATCCTGGTTCTTCCCATGTGGGAGATAAATGGGTCTGCAACCGTAGCAGCGTGTCACTTTCATCAGTCAAAAAAGCTCAGCAGTGTGTCTAGAGGTTAGTGATACCCAAACGCCATCTTCCGATTCCACCCGTGCTCCTGCACGGCCGCCACGCACCTCACCTGGTCTACCGACAACTTGAACTTAATCCCTTTGAACGCGTCAATCTTCTCTTTTTCTCTGCACTCTCTCGTCCGCATGGCACTCTATGGCCGTTGTGACTTCGTTCATTCAGCAGTATTATAAGTGAGGTCAGAGGTCCCCTGCCCTTGAACAGATCCTGTTCTCCTGGCTCCCCACTTTTTTTAGCCACGTTTTCGATGCCTTGACAGCGCTGCCCTCTATTCGTTCCCTGCCTCAGGGGTTTCGTTCAACAGGACCATGCACAAAATGCTCAAGATGTCAACGGTAACCGACCACCTGATCACAGCCAAACCGCCTCTACTGTGTCTGCGCTCATCTTTTTCTGATACTGTTCCTCACCCGCGGGCCGCGCTTCGCTGTAGACCGCTGGCAACTCATAGGGGGGGGGAGGGGGATACCAGCACCTGCATCTCGAGGAGGGGGTGGATCGCGGCGGGGGGGTGGAGGCGTCGGTTGTGAGTCGAGGGGGATATCTCCACAGCCCCGCTCGGGGGCGCTGGGGGGGCAGCGTTGAGGGGCGGCGAGGAGAAAGGTGGACGCGTCAGGCGACGGGCGTGTGGGGTGGGCCCATATCACCTCGCACATGGCGGGGGAGGGGGCAGTGAGCCGTGGGGGGGGGTGTGCGGGGTGGTGAAGGTGAGGCAGTGTGTCGCGCTGTGGGAAAGCAGTATACTAGCTTGGTGGCGGTGGGGGTGCTTAGGGTTGGCGTCATATAGCACTTAGTCTGACTTTGAGCCGCTGCTGCTTGGTTATCACCACAATGGCGGAAGGAGATCCAGCGCAAGAAGCGAGTCTCACGCGGCGCAGCGTCGAGACGAATAACGAAAGCTGAGACTGGTCACCGCAATACCTACCATCTTGAGGGATTTTTTTCAGTTGGGCTCGACGTGCGAAAATTGGAAAAGAAAAGCGCATGTCCAAGCTCTGCTCGGTCTCACTTTTTAACAAAATGGCAAAAAAGTCAGAAATCATTTTTAGTTGGTGAACCCTGGAAACGTACCTGGGAGCGGTACCTTGATAAGATCAGTGAAAAAAAAATGCGTACGGCTACTTAGAGGGCGCTCAAAGCTGAGGTACAAATGATCTGGACATTTGTGTTCAGGGGTGTGAAGAGAGGGAGAGAGAGATAGAGGGGGAGAGAGGGAGGTTGCGGTTGCTGACAACCAATCTTTGAGGGATGCGCCACGCCCTCTACTGGTATTGGGCATCAAACGAGCATTTAAATGCACTGCAGCTACAGCTGCCGGCCGACACCTACCTCATTTTCTTTCTGACAAAGACGTGATCAGCGCTAGAAGATTCAAAGGTTAATGCCACCTAAAAGAACAGTAGGATCTGATCAATTAGGCCAAAAACAAAGAAAAAAAGAAGTTTCGATCTTTGACAGGTTATTTTCGAGAGAGGATCCTATCTTACATATGACCCCTTCGACTACTAGGAATAGGATACCTAAACCTTTCTACTGACCAAAAAACGGGCCAAAGCGTAGAAACATTCACAAGTGACCGGGAGGGACTCACCATTTGTACACTCTATACCCTGATGGGCGTGTCTGCTTACTTCATTGAACCATAGAGTAGAATGCTTTTTTGAGGGATATTGCCATGTGGTGCAACTGTCACCTTGTCCTGTGTTGGACAGAAACATGGTAACAATTGCCCCCAAATTCCAACATCCCATCTACAACGCAGTTGCCGGCACACTGAAGCAAAACACGCGGCCACGCCCAGCACATCTCTTCGAAGCCCTTAGTTCGCGGTTCATTCTCGATTTTATGCTTGGAGTTTATTGTCTTGACTCCATGTGACCCACCTTAACATTACAGATCGAGTTTGCTAACCTTTTTAAGAGCCTAAGGTATAAGCAAGTTGCAAGTACTGTCAAGTAATTCGATTCTCGTATCAAAAAAGCTACTCATGAACAGGCAGCGTTCCAAACGTGATTGAACCGTCGTTACCGACGTTGGACAAGTTTCCCATCGATTTGCGCAAGAATGTACGGTATTTGAATCAAGGTAATTTTACAGCTGACCTAAAAAGGGTACTTTAGGGGGAACCGGCGCCTGCTGTCTCATCGAGAAAAAACAAAGACGAAATTGGTATTGCTTGCCTACGAACTCACATTACCATTGAGGTGCATTGACAGTCAGATAGGGAGCATTAAAATGTGATTTTGTATTGCATCAATTATAAGTCCGAACTGACATTAAGTGGTTTCTAGAAAAGGAAAAATCGTAGAAAATTCAAAATTAGAGGGGAAGCCAAGAGTAGAACTGCTCAATCATAGTGTAGTGGTACTAACAGGAAAAAGATGATGGAGGAGTGCAAGATCGAGCCACTGAAAAAGTCCGGTGTAGAGAACAATGTGTCTGGAGTCAGAGAATGTCTTGCGCTGAGGAGCAAGAGGAGTTATATTCGGTTTTTGTGGAGAGCTCATTGATGTTGAAGGAGGGGGAGGGGTGGTGAGCCTTCATAGAAGGGATAGGTTGGTTAAGGGTCCCTTCACAGATCAAGGAATATTTTCTGGGAAACTGGAGGTAAATCTAGAGGTATGTAGCTCAAGAAGATGTGGACCTTTAGGGGATAAGGGAGGGAGCAGGTATAAGTGTGGAGAAGAACCAAACTAAGCTTGTTCTTGAAACTTCGTAGAGAGTAAACTTCCGCAACCAAAAGGGTTCACTTATGCCATTTTGTAGAGACCTGTTTAGGGCTAAGATATGGTACTATCAGGAGCGCAAAATGCCCCTCATAGGGCGAACAGTGCTGATATTTCATCGTGAAACGCGCGCGAAGTCATTTTGGTCGCATGTGAACCATATCTTTCACCCTAGCACTTCAAGACGATCAGGCGGTACGTCGAGCTGACTTCACCCAATTACCCGTGATCCGTTTGCAGATGTTTGCGGTATAGAGCTATTGGTTTCAGCTCGCCCGAGATCGAAATCGACAAATCGGGAAAAGAGTTCATGGGATCAACATAAGGATTTCAATAGCGCCGGATGCCATGTTCTCTACATACATATCGCTAATTAGGAACAGGCGCCGTGGAGAAGTAGCAGGCTTTTTCGGGAAATGCGAGTCCTAAGTCTCACGTCTGCGCACGTTCACAAACGAGAGAAGGGTCAGTCTCTCTCGAAAGAAAACACATCTGCTCCTAGCAAAAAAATTGCGCCATTTCGCGCCATCTTCCGACCCACTTGCCACATAAAAGCCACGATCCTCGCCCTTGAATAAAATCTGGAAGAAGAAACGACTCCCTTGTCCTCCGGGTGATTCCCTCCTTCCCCAAATTTCTTCACTTCTCCCCAACTTTCCACACTTTGCGGAGTTTTCTTTTCATCAGTTTCCCAACTTTTTCCAAAAAAATATCGTCCAGAGAAGGAGTGGGAGGGGATGGAAGGGTACATGAGATGGAACTCAGGAGAAAAACCATGACGCATGCTCTCCCCCTCCTCCCCTCCCCCCCCGCTGGTTATCCCCCACGTACGATATGTCCTGCCTAGCGCTTGTCTTATGTTAACTTATGAGAGATTTGATTTGACACATGACGTTTTTGCCCGAGCTGTTCGTAATGGACTGCTGATATTGAACCACTAAATAACTGATTCTTGGCACATACAAATTAGATCATGCGTAATAATATATCACTCTATGAAAACTATTCTCCCCTTATAGGAATGTTAAGGCCAAAAAACAGCGAGGAAGGAAAAAAGTGCGTCTCAAGGGTATGCGATGTCCGGGTCGCTATTAAGTCGCCATAAGTAGGCCGAACATAGCGATTTCGTTGTCCAGTTAATTGTGCTAACGCTGTGTCTATTGAGGTCAAGTGGACTTATTTATTCTCGTGGTAGTTTTCTAAACACCGCGAGAAATCATGCATATATCTTTTTCTTAAAACCTGCTTAGAGGAAGAGAGAGGTGTCGTTTTAATCCGCGAAAGAGGAAACGGTGGGCTGGGAGATAGGGCGCTGTCAGCGACGGGGGGCATGTTCCGCCACTGTCGCAAGCTTGCTAATTCCGGTGGTGGAAGTTCCTCACTTCTGTGTGAACCTTGTGAAACCTTTGTAGGTGAAAGCTCGTCGCAGCCCGCGCATGTTAAAGCCTATTAGCCTCTCGTGTAGGCTTTCTCGATGAGACTTGGATGCGCAAAGGGGCAAAATTGCATATAAACTCGCCGCGCCCTCGGTCGCCGAACTGCACCCGATGGATTATTGTCAACATCAAGGGTAAGGGGCATACGCGAATGAATATATACGTCGGGCCAGGGCTTAAGAATGTAGCTAACGAGAGGAAAGCAAACAAGAATAGTCCTTACTGCAACACCTCGCTTGGTGTGGGTAATCAAGCAGAGCGGAAGATCCTCCTCCCCGAAGACGGACCAAACGTGAAAGAAGAGTAGACAAGGCGAGATGGGCCGAGTAAACTTATAACCGAGTTTTGCAGTACCTGGAATACTTAAGAATTCCAGTAATCTTGCAAGTTGTTCGGAACAAATTGGGCAATTTCTTTTGACCTTGCCCCAAAATTCAAGAAGACTTTCGTCAGTCAACCAAAGGTAATCCCGGACGTCACCTAGAGGGATGGAATGTTTTGACATAACTCACTATATGATTATAGGATATATAATAGTTGACAGTATTGGATTACAACAGACGTGAGTGATGGTGGCGATGGGAACGAGTGCAGAAGCTCGTGCTCAGGCAATGCACTGCGCAAATAAACATAAGAATGAGCACAATCGCATACCATCAAGAAAAAGAGCCCGGTGCTCCAGAAAATACAGTCAAGACAGCTTTTTCTCATTCGCAGAGCTCTTCCTACACAAAGCCCGACTGGTTACCAGCGAGGTAGTTGTAGCAGTAAAATCGGATAAAAAGAAAACAATCGACATCAGTAGCTGGCTTTATGAGCTCTTTTTTACGGGTGATTATCCGTTATTTCCAAGCTGTACTAGTTGAGTGCGACCTGCTCCTGAAGTAGAGTCTGTTAGGATGATTACTGCTGTCTTTTCAACTAGAAAAAAATAGACATGCAGAAGGAATAATCAGGCCAAGTTCTGGCACTTACTAGTTGGCTATCCGAGACGGTTTCAGTGGCTTATGCACTCAAGCCCACGAGAGGTTCCGAACCAAGGCACATCGTCGTGATGAAGAACATGAAGACGTACATGGGCTAACTAAATGTTCGAACTGATAGTTTTCCCCGTTTCACTCGCGTTTTACGCCCCCACCTGTCCCGCTCCTTGTTGCTCCCCAATCGGTGGTGTGGCTGAAGTACGAAATCCTAGTAGTTGGAAGTGCTTCTCCATCACATACACTCTCAATGGCAAAATGTTGATAAATGTAGCAATATCAAGGCAGTGACTGTCGTTGGGGAAAATTTCCGAAAACGCGGCTCGTCCCCCCCCCCTCTCCGGTGTCCTTGTCTGGTACGAAGGCCGCCCCTATGCTATCTATCATCCTCCGAAGTTTCCCAAACTTCCTATCATTTTACCGAGGATTCTTCCATTTTTTCCCCTCAATAGCTTCTGTGAGGAGCTGTGTGCTGGGGCAATCATGTCCGCATGATTCAGTTGAACGGTGAAAAAAAGCAGCATCTTTAATGGGGATCAGCCTCAGCAGAAGAAAGGATCACTATCTCAGCGTAGGGTAGAGACAAGCAGAAAGGGCTGCGCTATCACGTGTACCCCTTTCCTCTATCTTAGATGTTCTCAATGCTCCATATAGACGTGAGATCGGTGGAGGCCAAAGCCAAACTACCCCGGACAAGTTTTCAGCGGATTTGGTGATTCAGGGTGTTTTGGCGCCGGCGCTTGTGGTGCGGACGCTAGGAGGTCTCGGGCCAAATGGGATCAAGCTACCCCTGGGAACAAGTTTTCAGCAAATTTAGCGATCTGGGCTATTTTGGCGCCGGGCACGTGGCGTGGACGCAAGAGGTTCCTGGTCAAGCGGATGTGTCATCGGTCTTCATGAGGTCAAACTGCCTCAACCGACAATTAGCCTGCTCTGCTCACAAAGAAAAAAGTCGGTCAAAAGCTGCCCTGATTTCGGACGATTGGGACAATGAAGGGTCAATATTGCTAGAAACTTGGGTCAAATACCATCCCCTCCCCCCTCCCCCTTCAGCGACCAAACAGTACCTTCGTAAGAGGTCTCCCAGCGCACGACGTGCCCTGAGGAAGATGGTATATAATTTTTGGTAGAAGTCTAAAGAAGAAGTTCTGAAAGTTTGGAGTGGGGGGGGATGGTCGTATTAAAGCAAAAAACTTCTCCAATACACGATGTTGCTGCGACTCTTCAGAAACGGTAAAAGCTGTGCGCGGGCGTACTGAAGGAGAATGATTGAATCTCTCCACTTTGGCTTTTTGGTCTCTTCCAGAGCATCATATTTCAAAAAGGTTCCATAGAAAGATGTAGAAAGAGGTACCGATTTCTCCGAGGTAGGCCGGTTAAAAAATATCGAGAACAGGATAAAATGTACTAAAAGTTATCACAAGAATGCTGAGTTGTGGGTCTTTGGAAATCTTTCGAATGGAAAGTGTTTCGTTAGAAATCTCTCAAATGAGGTACATTCATATTATATTCTATTATGAAAAATTGTAAGAGTCAGTCAGAGGAAACCCACGCCAGCCGACCGTGGCCGCCAGCTAGTGCTTTGTTTTTGTTTACATTCTCGTACGAGTCAAGTATTAATTAAGAGCTCCTCGTATCATGAAAGGCTCATTACCAACCATAAGACGGCTAACCAAAAGACGAACGTTTGGTCAGTTGACTGGAGTATTTCCATATCCAGCATAAAAATAAAAAAAATAATAGAAAAATCAGCAGATGGGAGCAAAAGATTCACTGAAACTTTACCTCTGTGAAAAACTCCGAAAAAAGGGATCTATGCAGAGTATTTAGCCCAGTTAGGGCTTTGTCAGTCTTGGAAGACAAGAAAGATTCTGCTGGTTCTCTGTGAACTCCACAGTCCCAAGAGTTGGCGATGGAACAGTCAGAAATGGTGCTCAACGGCGGGGCTCACGTTGGAGGACGCCCACGCATTTGAAACGCCTTTTCAAATGTCAATTAGAGAGGAAGGAGATCTCTCGGCTTCTCTTTATAAAAGACAGAATCGAAAGGTAAAATGAAGCAGAAGGTAGCTGATAAAGGGACGGCGAAATTGCCATTTTGACGCTAGTGCACTAGTGCACTCTCATCGAGCCCAGCCCATGGTCAGTGGCAGCTGTTGATGAAGGTCGGCGGTCAGCACAGACATAACAAGAACCAGTTGCACATAAACATACGACGAACAGAAAAGCGCTGCCGTGTGTCAGTTGGGCATTAGAAACGCTTGTCTTGTGGTTTACGGATGTTGTTATGGATGCCCGAGACGGCCACATACACCTCGACGATTTCCAGTTTTCTGTAGAATTTAGTGACCAAGACCAAGAGACCATCCGTTTCCATCATAAGACTGCTATGTTATGGGCAAAACATTAGGTCACGGACGAGAAGGGAGAGGAAAACCAGCGTTTTCGTCGAACAACCATGCGCAGAGGCTGAGAAACCGTTATTTGAATTATCTCAAAATGATCTTGAAATATATTCATTTACTGTTCCATTAATGCTTAATTTAAACTTAAATTGATGAGATTTTATTAATGGAACAGGTACCTTGGAATGGGTTTCATTTGTTGTCGAAAGGCATTCCTCTCTCTCACACTTCATAAACCGTTTAAGCGAAAAATCTCTTGCATTTTAAGAAATAATAAATATAATTCCGGGCTGATAATCTTTGGGGAGGAGGTGAAGAGAGCAGTTAATGGATTTTTAGTGGATTAGTCCAATAGGGATAGGACTACTATACCTGGGTCCACCTTATCAGGAGATCCTTCTCGCTTAGACCAAAAGGCTTGACCCCAGGCTGTAGTTGAACCGCACATCAAGCTTTCCGAGTGAGTGCGCTATCCGTTACGCACACGCTTTCTTAGTGAGTGCACTATTCCTTATTCATGTGTTACGTAAGAGGAAGCACTCACCCGGAAAGCGGTAGGTGAATGTTTGATCCCACTTGGGGTAAGGACTTTTGCCCATAACGTCGCAACGAGGCCGACGGAGAAGCAGCAAAAGGGACTATATGCACAGCGTTCCTGCTAGAACCCAATCGGCTCAACGCTGCTGCTGTCGACTCTTTTTATGTCTGTGCCTGTCCCGTCAACTAGCTAGGAAAGCGTGCGATGCGGCAACTTGGAAGTAACCCTATGCACTCTAGCATTTGAAGGGCGTCATCGAAAGCACAGAGGATTTTCTTTCTGGTTGATTTGGCGCGGAGCGGCATTCCCTGATTCGGTGGCTGAACTACACCATGCCTTGGACTGTGGTTAGGTAACTGGTACCTTACTTGTCCGGGAGAACAAAAAAAAGCCAAACGTGGATATCGACTAGTCCGAGGGAGCCGCTGTATCGGTCACATCTCTTACAAAGGTGAGTGCGAGGGCAGCTTGGCGATGGCTGCACACTTGCCACTCCCATCGAAGTGTGTAGCATCTATAGAGCTATTTCATTTAGCTCACAAGAACTGACAGATTTTACTATGGTGGCTCGACAAGTTCACTCTAGCTCACCAGTTTTACCAGAAAGAGACTTGTAAATTGAAACTAGTGAAGCAGTGAAAGGGCGAAATGCCCCTCCCAACCCGTCGCCGCACTGCGTCCCATGTGATTTTCGACGGAAGCAGTATGGTCAGCTGATCTCGTAAAGGAATTTGCACCGCTGATTACTTTGACTCTCCATATGGGAGGATGCTCTTCACCATGAACTAGCCCTCGAAGGGAAAACTTCCCCAAGGGACGACAACTCCTACCCTTTGATGGTCATGTGCAAAAGCCTTTTCTGTTTTCGAAAAGACATCATAGAGAAGGTTCTATAACACACCATTATCAATTGTATAGGCGTCCCCCCTTGTCCCCACCTAGAGCGCTACTGTGACACCCCGTCGGACCAAACACGAACACCAGCAGCGAAAGAGACTCCTATGGTCAAGTTGTTCTTGAAAGCACTGTGCGAAGATGAATCGCCGTGTGTCCCTCAAGCGGGTAGTATCCTCTGGACTGATTTGGCTCAATGCGACGAGTGGAAGCTGGCGTCC